GATGCAGTCCCATAATAACCCGTGACCAACAGTTGGCTTATATGCCAATTTTTGCTTCAAGATCCTGGAGCCCATGTGCATCAATTGTTGGGAACCAGGATTTTTCAACTCCTCTTGGTGGACCCTCCGTAACCACCGACCCGGTTGGAGCAACGCACATTCGCTTTTCGTCTTCTCAATTTCGTAAAAAACACCCTACAGTGAGCGGGACTCCCTTGACAGTGGCTATATACGCGTGACCATATGAGAGCACTTCGAGACGGAGAAATAACTCTCCCCACCCTCGGCCGTATCAAGGCATTTGGGGGCATTAAAACAAACACAAACCAGTAGCCGCTGAATAAATATTAGTTTGGTAAAAGATATATGATAGAGATATGCCTTTAGTCAGGAGATTTGTAAAATCTAGGGAAAAAAACACGACTTACTTAACTGTAGGAGTTTTCGACAAAAAAGCACTAAAAATCCGTCCGGAAATCAAATACAGGATCTTTAAAGTGAACAGTTCTCAAAAATCTTTAACATTAATAGGCCATATATTCATGTGCAATAATTCAACACCATATCTATCACACTAGACGGACACAAATATCTAATAATTTAAACAAAATAAATGCCTCATATCTGATCGATCCCCGGTGCAATGGTTGTGAAGGTGCATTGCTAAACTGTCCCATACTAGAAAGAAATAGCTATCTAGTGCCTCAGAGTTTTCAGTGGTGGTCTAGCTAAGATCAACTCGGGATTTACCCTATGAGAATTCTATGATCCCCACAAACTCCCAATAAAAAAAACAACTAAAGTAGTTGTATATAATAGACTCATTCTATTTTCCGACTTCTTAAATAATTAAAAGCACCCTGTGAAAAAGTTAACGTTCTTTTTGATCGATGGCAATAAGATTAAGGTTGAAAACGAAATACTAAGTCAGCTAGCTCATTTCATTACTTATATGAGGAAAATTTAGTCATAAGAATTGATGAAGATTAGGTAAAAGTAGATGGAAATTACTGCATCGATTGAGAAAAGCTAAAATTATTTATTAGAGGTAAATTACTTTAATACTCTCATTCTTAATAGAATAGAGAAGGGTTATGTTATATCCCGATAAGAATAATGAATGGTAACTTTTGGGATCCATTTATGGACTAATACTATGAGTATATTTTTATCGTGTAAGTGTTATGTAACTAAACTATTCATATTCATGTCCCTCTTATTATGAGTTTTATTTTGACCTATGAACTATTATTATACGATTTACTATTCTTGAATTAGTCCCAGTCTATTAATCACTACCTCCATCATTCACAGCCACTTTTGGCCAAATATTGTACAAATGTTATTTTCTATTTTATGGTACGTTATGGTCTGTTTGATTGGTATATAAACCCCGTATGTTTGAAATAAATGATTCATATTGCAGTGGCTGAGATTGGTGTTCTGGCTGAGCTAGAGAGGAAATGAGACCAATCAGGGCTCCAGGCTGCTCGCACGTGTTTTATGCGTCACTGACTCGGTCGACAAGTCACTGCTCTCTGATTGGCGGTATCGATGCGTCATGCAATAAACAGGGCACACAGGTTCACAAGTTATAACAGGTTAAATATGTTTACTTTAGGAGAGGTTGAAAATATTTAATCACCTTATGGGCTTTCTAAATCCGATACTTGATCAACACATATAAACTTTCATAAAGTTTATTTGATAAAAGAAACAAGGGAAATTCAATAAATAATTGCATAAGTGTCTTTGTACTTAACTGTAATTAATTCTTGTAGTGTCCGACTTAAGAATATACATGTAATCCAACTACCTATGCTGTGGTATTTTCTTATCAATCCTAAAGATATCATGAACTCTAAACTAAAACATAGGAAGAAAGTTTTTTCACTTATAATCAATCCCGATAAATCGAATATCAATCATGGAATAGTAGAATGTTGATAATAATTAATAAGAAGGGGTTTTGTGGAGATCTTAGAAATTTAACTGGTTGAAATCATGAGTCAATTGAAGCTAGACCACCATGGAAAACCTGGAAGCACTGGACAGCCGTTTCGTCCTAGTATGGGACTCCTCAGTAGTGCGCATCCACGATCCCGCCCCCGTCTAGTGCTTCCAGGTTTTCCATGGTGGTCTAGCTTCAGTTGACTCATGATTTCAACCAGTGAAATAATTAATAAGTGTAATATGATGAATCTAATACAAAGTTCAGAGAATATAACAACTACAAATCGAATATAGTTTGTTACCCTAAAAAGGTTAGATACTAACATAATTCTAACAATTTGGGTCAAGCTAATTTGACCAACCTACATTCTTGTTTAACAACCAATTGAGAATCGATAAAAATGACCTTCAGGTTAGTGTATTGATTCATATAGAAGATTAATGTTTGTTTTTGTGATGTATGGACATTTGAATGAATCCCGGTACGGTATACATATTTTCTTAATGAACTATATGTACTAAAATATAGTCGTTTTTTAGTAGTAATTACTACATACATCGTTAAAAATGTTCAATAAAGTGAGTAGATTCTATGTTTATGTACATGGAGATTATTAAATTTATTCTATAATGATACTACTGTAAAACTTTTATTCTTTAAAAATCTATTTAAAATGTAATTTTTATGAGCTACATGCTACAATTTGATCGTTTGATGTACTTGTCAGTAAGTTTATTGAATGAAAATATCCTCAACAGAAATAATTAATTTCAATGATTGAAATCATGAGTCAATTGAAGATAGACCATTATGGATAACCTGGAAGCACTAGTCGGGCCGTTTCGTCTTATTATGAGACCCTTCAGTAGTGCGCATCCACGGTCCCGACTTGCGAGATTCGAACCCAGGACCTTTCAATATCGCGCGCTAGAACTTAACCTCTAGACCACTGAGTCGGCATCCAATGGTGGTAATGTCTAACTCCAACCAATCCACGAAACGGCCGTTCAGTGCTTCCAGGTTTTCCATGGTTGTCTAGCTTCAATTGATTCATGATCTCAACCAGTGAAATTACTGTAACATCCACAAAAACTCCTTCTGATAGAAATAATTAAGTTGAATCCTTCGACAAGAATTTACAACATAAAGAGGAAAATTACCTTGACGGGTCAATATACAAACTTTCTTAGTTTTGTCCCTCTACAATACAAAAGGAACCTTATTAAGATACTGCATCATAAAATCAAGACTATATGCTCTGTGAATACGATTGAAGACGAAACAAAGTCATTATACATAACCCTGAAGGAAAATGGACATCCCGAGAAATCTATAAATAAAAACATAGCCAATAAAAGACAGCATAGAGAATGCACAACTGTAAATAAAAAGCCTCTGTATCTACGGTTACAATTCAGAGGCGATGCACCGAATGAAATGCTAAGACTTAAGTTAAGCAGATCAATTCAAAGGACTTTTAATGCGGGTAAACTACAACTAATGTTCTCCACACAACCAATAATCACTCCGAGGTTGAAAGATAAATTGCCTAGACTAGCCACCTCCTTCTGCATTTATCAATTCAACTGCTCCTGTGGAGCAAGTTATATTCGCAGATGTTCTAGGAATTTGTACATTCGAGCTCGTGAGCACCTGTCCGTGTGGTTAAGCAAAGGTGTAGTCAAAACAGTTAACAGCTCCATCTTAGATCATCTAGTTCGGACAGGACATACAGCCAACATGGAGGAATCTTTTGCAATAATCTATCGTGTTAACAGCAGTCAACCTGATTCCGTCAGACTGCGAATCCTACAGACGACTGAAGCAATTGATATTCGGATCAAAAAGCCAGAGCTTTGCATCTAAAAGAAGTATGTTCAGTCAGTCCTTTTACCCTGTCCAACTAGTTAATAATTAATTTTATAATATGGTGACGTAATCCGATTAATGTTCATTTTATGCCCCAAACTTTATTATTATTGTTGCTATTGTTATTATTATTAATATTATTATTATCTTTACACTTGATAACCTTTTGAGGAATTCAATTAGTATCCACCCTTATCTACTATATCTGACCTAATTCATATTATTCTACATGTTACGTAATTTCCGATTTTTATTCCATTAGTTTCTCTCTTACCCCATGTTGACCATATTTATTCTGATCATGATTTACCTCACAATTTCGGATTCAAGTGAACACTTTATATTAAACAGCCCTAACAATTCTTAATTCACATATTCACAATTTCCAAATGATGATGTACTCTCTACCCTTAAATCTGGCCAATTTGATGAATTATTCATTTGGATATAAGATAATATTCCTCATCCATACAATTGTGTTTTCATATAATGGGAATTTTCCAGCGATTAAAATTTGAATTTCATTCATCAAACAAAGATCGTTCAAAATTGTTATTCCAATAAAAGCATAAGATCATATTTTGATTTCGTCAGTAGGCAACCCTACATTGTTTGAAAGTCGTATACTTGTTATGCTGAACAACGGATATAATCCAGTAATATACTTACACCAGTACCATCGAACACAGATCGTACTAAATAATAACTATACCATATAGTCTGAATACAGTGTATTTTTTATCCGTTTTTTTTGTTTTTCTTTTTGGACAATAGTTATTCAAAATTCGAAATATTCCCATATTGTAAATTTAGAACAACTTAGATAATATAAACGAACAATATTGTTTTCGATTAGATCCTCATCAGGCTTTACTCTAATATACAGTAATGTATATATATATATATATATATATACGAAATGAATTAAACCAATCAAGGTAGTTTATAAGTCAATAATGATAACAATGAAAACGATTACATAATAAGTAAAATGTGAAAAGTACAAATTGATGGTGTGACAACAGGTGCATTAGTTTTTGATAAGCAATAATAATAAAGGTTCATATCAATGTTACATAATCGGAAATAGGTCAATGATTAGGAGAAAATATAGAAACTGAGATAACAATTATAAAATTATAAGATGACGTAATAAGAAATGCATATAAATATTACTGTATATTAGAGTAAAGCCTGATGAGGATCTAATGGAAAACAATATTGTTCGCTTACATTATCTATGTTGTTCTAAATAGTTATTCAAACAAAGATAAAATAATTGGAGATTTGAGGCAACAGTTCTGAAATAACTGACAACACTCATTTAACTAACTAAAACTTGACTAAATTTAGTCACTAGGATAGTAATCAATCAATATGAAATGATTTAGGCTCAGAAATTTATTTTAGACTATCAGTACACAATTCCAGCAACTTTACAGATGTAACATTCAATAATCTTGTACTGAAAAAAAAATGTGATGAACTCATTGCTTTTCATGAAAACTCATGTAAAACTGACAGCTTCAACTGACAAGCACTTCCAATATCTTCGAAATGTGACGATGCCTAATTTTAAGTGTATAGTTAACTTAACATTCTGATGGGACTGTTACTAAATATCTTTTAGAAATATAATACGTATGTGTTAGTTTTCACTGTACATTTCAAAGCTCTATAGTCAAGATCATGAAATAAATTGAGAAATACAAACAATGATTGCATTAAAAAACTACATTGCTGAAGAAAGTCTCATTTAAAGCAATCTGGAATTAAACTGCATTGAAGCTAGTAGACATTAGAACGCAATTATATTTTAGTATTACAGGAGATTCAGACTACCTAATTTTCTGAAGGTGGACAGCTCTAAGAAAAGCTTGAATATTCTTTGTCCGATGGATGCTGAGGTAGTTGACGCAATTTTCTGAAGGTACCCATACTTGTAAGAAGTGGCTCTTCAGAGCTTTCTCGTCTTTAGTGACTGTTCAGTTCAAGTTAGTGCGCGATACCAAACAGTAATTATATTTTGTCGTGGATGTTCTTTCATCGTTTAATAAACTGGTCTACATGTTTGTCATGTCTAATACTATGTCAAGTCCATATAGATTATTCTAGCCTCCGGACAGACTAACTTATTTATTCTTCTGGAGTTTTATTTTGACTTTGTCACTTATTAGCTTACTAACCTTGACTATTTTTATATGAGCGCATCTGTGTACCACTTACCCTATTCATCAATTATCTTTAGCTTATTAATTTATGGATATAAATATTAATCACACTTTATCAAATTTAGTTGGCACACGTGCCTTCTCCTGTCTGCTTCTCCGCTTTATTTGTATGAATCAAAATGTGTGCGAAATTATACGTATTCAAGGTTCATTCTCATAATTTGGAATAGTTTATTCTGTTATTCTTTAACGCGAATTAAATCGTTTGTTATCTACGAGTGTAGCCAGGATGTATAGTTCGTTAACATCGTTGTACAACAAAATTGTAGTCAGATCAGTAGGCCAAAAAATATCATCTCAACATTGTAGAACTGTATTTCTGTATCAGTCAGTAAGTTATAACAAAGTTTAGGGTACTGGATAAAGTACTGGATATCAATCAAAATCATTAAAATGACACTAATTATTTCCAAAAAAAAGTCTTATTCAACAAAATGAATGACCCATAATCAGATTGAAAATCGAAAAAATTAATGAAACCCAATATTCCAGTAATCTCTAACCACATAGACTATTAGAAATAGCATAGAATTATCTTACCTTCCCATTTACATCCATCCATTAAAAGTAAATTTGGAATAAACAAAAAGAAAATCATATTCAATTATGTGATGGAGAAAAGAACACAATATAAACAATCAAAAATACGGTAGAATAAGAAAAAAAAACACTAGAAAAATATAAAATAAAGTTACTATAAATAGTAGAAAAGACTCGAACTTATGCCCGTTTAAAAAAAACAAAAAAAACAACATAATTCATCAATATGAGGAATAAAAACAATATAGAAAAGTAATTCATGGAACAGAGACGCCATGACAACAAGATGAAATTAAGTCACAATTTCATTATATTCATAAAAAAATAAACATACTACTTGTAAGTAACGTAACGCAACATACTGAAAGAATAAGAGAGGTAAAAAAGATCTTTTTTGTTGTTGTTGTTTCAACAAACAAAATAACAAATAAACATATGGCATTAAAATATATAAAAAACAAACAAACAAACAGACATCTTACAAGATAATCTGATAACATCAACTTTTTATTTGTTATTTCTATCCAAAAATATTGACCGATAGATGGTAGTAGATGCATTCACCTCTCTATCTTGTTCACCTGGAAGGCGGAGAGGACATGAAATCTATGCAAACACGACGAATAGAATTGATCCATCTAAGAAAGTAAAGAAATAAATACAGAAACGTTTAAAGATGTGAATGTGTGTGCATGTATGTGTGAGTGAAATGTAGAGAGAGAGAAAGAGGGTTGAAGTGATTCATAAAAAGATAAACATTAATAATACATTATACTGTGAAATTAAACATGTCTAATATGAAGAGATAAGAACTGACGATAATAAAGCCTTAAGAAAAAGGTAGAAGCAAATCAGTACAGTTAAGCCTGCTTATTTACAACAAAAAATATGTTGTTGATCCATTACCTTTATTGATAAGATGAAATTGTTTTGACCTCTAAATATTTTAATCCAAGTAAACAAGTAAACTTGGATAATTAGAAAACAACATACTAAGAAAGGTGTTAGTCAATGTCTTTTCTTTTTAAAAATAAAGAGTCAGTTAATTGCTTTGTAATTAATTGATTAGGCACTACGTTGCAGGAATTGTTAAAACAAAGCAATTTTATGAAACTAAAAATAAGAAAGGACAATTCCTCAGAGTTAATCAGTCATGATCAGGGTGAAGTCTGGCAAAATGGTGAGTTAGCTCACGTTTCTATGACAGATAAGCACGATGAGATGACGATGACAAGATGAATAGGAAAAGAGATCGAAAAAATATATGATAGCAATGATAATGAGAAAGACTAAATATTGGTTCAAAAAGACAGAGTGGGAGGGTATATATATATAAAGAAATAGTGAAGTTCAAGATCTAGAAAAAACATTGAGTGATATTATTACCGGACTGATATCCATTAAGGGACTATTTAAAATGACAAAAAACTGGAAACATACAATCCTCTTCGCCCAGGAATTCTTAGCGGTACAGGACCATGACTCCACTTATGGTCAAGGAGAAGGCTTCTAACTTTTTAGGGAGAGTACACTTTTTAATCGGTCAAAGAGTTGGAATCAGTTCGTACATTTCCTGATACCAGTCAGCTAGCGATATACCGACGTCCTGACTAAACGTCATTAACATATTACAGTCTTATTTCTGACTATATTAATATTATCTAACTGCTTGAGTAAATTATACTTCGGAACTTACTAGCTTTGTAATGCATTCTTTCAAGATTCGCATAAGTAGCTAACACAGATGAAGGTGATCAAAAGGTAAATTAAATGAGGTTGAAAATGCTGATATTTAGATACCGCTTCAGTGACTTAATGTTTTAGTTGGTAGAGTTTCGTTCTCTAAGCTCAGAGAGCAAATCTAATAATAAGAATAAAATAATTAATTGAAGATTTAGTGAAGGAAAAGTAAGACACATTAGTGCAACTGAGACCAATTTCGAGTCATATCTGAACAGTCTCCTATTACAGAACTGTTCAGCAAACTTTAGACAGGTAATCTGTACCTCCAAACACAGCTTGCTCCAACAACCTGACACTGAATTGATATAACGTCTCGGTATGGAAGCCCTAGATTTCTTCCAGGCGTATTTAACGTATCTCTCAACAACTCCAGTTGATGAATTATCATGGAATTAACAATCGATTTACCATTTTTATATAGTATTCTCACTGTGAGTAACTACTCTTTGGTTTACTTAAAAGAATAAATGTTGTTAAAACAATAATCTCATCAAGTCACAACAGAAGTTTTACAACAGGCTAAAAGCCGAAAGAATGAAGTGAAAATATAGACTTACTGTGTTCTGATTTCTACTGTTGTTGCTTCAAAATAATGTGCTGGACGGTCTGTATTTAAAGGTAACAGAAGAAAACCTAAATTATTACGCAGAAGACCCAATATCTCAGGACTGATTGTTTCTACATGTTTTATTATTTCACTGTTAGTTACAATTCCCTCATCATCATTGGATTGATCACCAGAAAAATTACATACAGAATTTTTATGATTCTCTTTAGAGGATCTTTCTCTACAAGATTGTGTAGATCGGTTCGATAATCTATCAGCTTCTAAGGTACTAATTGATGATGGTTTGATATAAGATTTCGATAAAGATGTTACATCTGAAAGACTAGATGTTTCACTAGAAAATCCATGATCAAATATGTTACGATCCCGTGGAGGAGGTTTACAGTTTCGATATATAGGATTACCTTGTCTATATAATCTAGAATATTCCCGTCTAAATGACCCAATAGTGTTTTCAGGAAAATCCTTGTTCACATTAGACGAATTATCAAAACTTCGTGCTTTAGTATGCAGCGTAGGTTGTTGTATTGTTGATAAATTACCATTGTGATTTGAAAATGTATCATTCAAATTATCATCTAGGTAGAATAAACGTAAACCTATCACAGTAATTTTATCTACTGCACGTGTATCAGCACGAGCAGCGTAGAATTCGAATGAAGTATCCGTTTGTAAAACACAAAATAAACGAGATAGGCATGCAGATGATGATTTATGATTTGTCGATTCTATATTAATTGATGAGTCGAACGATCGATTGTTGATGTGAGGCAGTGAATTAGAAGTTGATTTGGTATTTGAATCATGATGATTGTCCACGGGATCTGTAGAAGAGTTTTTGCATGCAAATTTGCTAGAAGAGTTAAATGGACCAATATCACGAAGCAATTCTTTTCGTATTTCAGAACTTGTATCAACAGATCGATACTGTACGGAAGATTTTGGTAGTCGAATAGGTGATTTTGTAGACCATGAATTATTGAAATGACTCCACATTAAGAAACCAGTTCTCAATGGTTGAGGTGGTTGCTGCTGTAAATTAAATTATGGCACATAAAGGTATTTCATAACAATGACCATTACAGAAAAAAAACACACAAAAAACCCAGACAAACGTGTCTATATAAAACTAGTTACATTACAACCTGGCTGATAGAATTCTACCAGCACTAAGAATTAAATAACTAGTGCAAATGTCTCAATCATAAAGGTAAGTTGCTGTTTTAATAACTCAACGGCAACGTCTTATACTACAAATCTGGGTAACCTGAGCTCAAATTCAACATGAACCATCAGTACACCTTGATGATGAGTGACAATTAGCATGAAAACCAGGTTCGCGGATACCTACCGTTTACCTCCAACTACCCAAAATCAAATAACACAGAGATTATCACTGTTACAGAACTTACTCTTATTCTATGCAGTAAAATACTTATTTACAGTGAGATGATGATTGACAGGTGAGCAAATTTAGACCATGAATATCAATCCTTATTTAAGTAGCCTAATTATGAATTAATTGGTTGGTACGTAACGAATACAGTTGATAATCTAAGTATAAGATGTCTAAGAGGAGAAGGGAAAAGGCTAAGATTTCATACTTCTTACACATTTATTAATGAGATGTGTTTGGAGCTTCAAGTATTCTCGATGCAAAATCGAAACATCAGATTGAACGTGCGAGCTACAACTCAATAGTGCTCACGGCCACTTTCTACTCAACCATTGCTATTTTTGTGACAGAATATTGATTTGGTTTATTAGTTTTTAGCAACTGTAAAACAGGTTAAGGAGACCATCAGACTATCATAAATAAAAAGTCAGTCTATGAAGTTATTTGATGGGATTTATGAGCGCCTTTGTTGGAGTCTCATGAGATAATTGAAATTTATAACTGTATACTAAGTGGTATGACTCAGAATAGGACATATTAGAACAGGTGAATTTGTTTATCTTTTCATGAAATCTTCCTCTGAATCCTAATATCATGATTAATAAAGGTTAAAAAACTGAGATGGATGTAGATCCAGCTGATGAGTCCCATATACGATAGAACGAGCATCATAAATCCCATAACTAGCTACGAATTGTCTATTCTGAGACTTTAAATCCCGATTTTTATTAGTCTTTGTTTTTAGTTTGCTGATTTCAGCAATGAAAATTTAGGTCGATGCACATTTTTTTGTACTTTGTTCTACACTGTACGGTAAGTGATTGAAATAAGCGTCGGACTAATAGTCAACAAGTAAGTTAGTAAACGGAAACGAAGGGTATAATAAGAAGAAATGAATAATGGATACAAGTGAAAATCAGGGCGCGCGTTTCATCCTCTTTAGGATTCGTCAGCTATTTGTACCTGCATTTCAGAGTAGATGCTCACTCTGGGACTCAATTCCAGTTACTAACATCAATGGAGAGATTCAAACAACCGATACAAATGAATTAAAGAATGGTATATTTGATATTTGTGTCAATCACCAAGTTGACTTTAAAATGAGTCGATCTTGAAGATTCTACAAACACCATTTAAAGAATTTTATAGGTCCCACTTTACGATAATAATAATAACAATGTGTATTCTAATCCTATCGTTTTGAAGCTTTAGCAATTGTGTTATCAAGTAATAAACCCGCATTTGAATGATTAAATAAGCAGTATACAAATCATTGAAATATTTATACGTATGAACATCGAAATTAAGTGAAATAGGCATGGTGTTAGTTAGCTTAGGTTACTGTTTTCTATTTTGGAGGGGGCAGGGTTGATAAAAACTTACAATGATAATCTTCATCAATATACAAAAGAAGAAAAAACAAACAAACAAACAAGTAATGAAACAATGAAATAATCAACTTTATGTTAAGAATGTCTCAATTTTATTTTCACTGAACCAATCATTCTTATTTTTTTTGTTTTCATGAAACAAAACTGAGGATACCTTCATGTAAAGAAGTTAGATAGATAAAAGTCTTCAAAGAAATCTAAAGGATTTATCTGTTGTGGATATACTAAACAACATTAAACGTTCTTCCAGTATTACATCACTAACTACAATCTAAATTTACTAACAACTTGAAATTAGAGGTACTATTAAAAAGAATTTCTCATAACGTATATATTTTCACTGCTTGAAATCATGAGTCAATTGAAGCTCGACCGCCATGGAAAACCTGGAAGCACTGGACGGCCGTCTCGTCCTAGTATGGGACACCTCAACAGTGCGCATCTACGATCCCGCACCCCACGAGATTCGAAACCAGGACCTATCAGTCTCGTACCAAGCGCTTAACCAACTAGACCATTGAGTCGGCATCCATTGGCGTTAATGTCTAACTTCAACCAATCCACGAAGTTGCGCCACCGTACACCATTGTCTTCAGTGAGTTCTTATCTCACAACAGACCTGGTTGAACTCCACTGGTAACGACTTCTCACTAGAACTCCAGGAGTGTCTCCTGAAGTCAGTCAGGTTTTCCTTGGTAGTCTAGCTTCAACTGACTCATGATTTCTTCATATCAGTCAAGCGGAAAGTTATCTTTTGTAATTTTGACTCGCAAATTAATTTCATTCTCCTATTGTTCTCTAACACCATGATGATTGCGCAATCTCATCTGATATTTGGTGTCTCGAATCGCTTTATGGTGAAATCTTTCCTATCCTTCTATAGACATATATTTACTGTAATGAACGAGAACACAACTGGGGACAACCAAATGTATTTGAACACAAAATTACAGAGTGATTTGGGAAAATGTGAATATCATACGTTTAATACTTCATTTGCAAAATGTCAATCAACTGTTTCAGAATTTGTTGTTCCTTCATTTTCATACCAATCACTCTCTGTTCCCATTCCCTTCTATTAGATCCTCTTAATCCTATGTTGTCAGGCATTCCACTTTCGATTAATGTTACATAATATTTATATCTGTCGACATGAGTAACACACATCACATTACCACACAACTATGAGAAGAAAATTTTCTTCGCTATCAACATTATATAGCTATCGTTCATACCACTGGACCATCTTATAAACTGATCACCTCTGTGTTCTCTACCCAGTCCTAACGATTATAAATAATTCAGCAAGGATGATATTCAAGAAAAATGTTGAAGTGACGGGAACTGATGTTTTAAGATCATGAGATCGATTGAACCACTTGAACAGATATTGTCGGATATTCGAAAGTAGAAATTCTTTGAACATCATTACGAAGGAACCAAGTTATATATATATACAAAGCGGAATTACTGTCAGACTCATTGCATATTTTGGTGGAGTTTTATTCTCTGAGCTGGATGGTTTGGTTGTGGAGCTTCCATCGTTATTTTGAACGACATCTTCATCATCACAAACTTCAGATAGACGTTTGTGCTGATGATGTCAGTCAGAATAAAGATGAAAACCCTAAGACCAAACTATTTAGCTCAGAGAACAAAACTCTACCAACTCACTGTATATCTAACTTTTCACAGCTAGACTATGAAGTTATGAAGTTATCAAAGATGAATTTGATGGAAATATTTGATCATTTATAAACAGTTTAATCAATTTGTATATCATTATATTGTTTACATGAAAATATTCATATTCATATTTTCACTTATTGTATATATACATACATGTTAAATGAATCCATATATTGTATGGTGTAATAAACATTTCATGAAATGGTATGTTATCTACACTGTTGTGTAACGTTATTTTTTGTGTGTGTTCAATACAGTGAAATCTATGGTCGAAATAAATTAAACGTGACTTTGAATTAACTAATCATTCACATTAAATAAGGCTAAATTGGTTAAAATGACTAAGTGATAAAATGAACTTTTACAGTAAATCAAATGGTAAACATAAACATATGTATATATATATTAGTTACCAAGTTCTATGACAAATATATTTATAATGGAGAACAGTTCGTGATTTAAACTGTGAAAAGATTCATGATCATATATATGAGTCACATCTAAGATGATATTCAAAAAACAGTAATATTCTACAAAGATTATGACTATTCAAATATAAACTGTAATTAACAACTTATGTAATAACGAGGGAGAGTTATTGATTAAAACAGTTGCATGAACCTCAGTTTGGGCTTCAACATACACAAAGGAAAAACCAAGATCATCAAATATAACACGGAGAACACTAAAGCAATCACACTTAATGGGGAAACTCTGGAAGATGTGGAATCTTTCATGTATCTGGGGAGCATCATCGATGAACATAGAGGATCTGATGCAGACATAAAGTGTCACATTCCTACAATCGAAGAACATATGAAACTCTAAACAACTGTCTGCAAGCTAACATCAAAGTGAGAATATTCAATACGAACGTCAAGAAAGTTCTACTCTATGGAACTGAAACTTGGAGAACCACTACAACCATCATCAAGAGGGTACAAGTAATTATAAATAGTTGTCCACGCAAGATACTCAACATCCATTAGACGGATACCATCAGCAACAGCCTACTGTGAAAAAGAAAAACCAGCTTCCATCTGAAGAGAAAACTAAGAAAAAACGATGGAAATGGATAGGACATACATTACGGAAATCACCAAACTGCATCACAAGACAAGCGCTAACTTGCAATCCTGAAGGGAAACGGAAAAGAGGAAGGCCAAAGAACACATTACATCGTGAAATAGAGCCAGATATGAAAAGGATGAATAACAACTAGAAAGAGCTGGAAAGGACTGCCCAGGACAGAGTTTGATGGAGATTGCTGGTTGGTGACCTATGCTCCTCCCCGAGGAGTAACAGGCGTAAGTAAGTAAAAATGAACCTCCGTTTAACAAATTCGATCATCTGAGTAAGTGGATAGAGTATCAATAGGTCATATATAAAAAATTTGGCGCTCAAAACCGAATAACACAACATAAATTAATACTTGACCAATAAGTTATAATAATTACTTAAAATGTAATGTACTGCAAAAATTTGTAAGGGAGTTATACATTCAACAGATGTATACCATATGGTTTGAGTTTCCCTAATTTAATAAGAGTTGGAAACAATGTTAATGTTACATTCAAGAATGGGCTAGATAATAAAGGATGAAAAGATTGGTTGGGCACGGTTTAAGCTACTCAAACAATTGTGTACTTGAATAGGAATAGTTCTATGGAGATTAAAAAGGAACTGTGTGAATGAGACAGTGATCAATTATACTTTTTAATACTGTGATATGTAAACTACTCAGTGATTGTTTTTAAACAAAAGAAACTTACTTTGTCTACTCGACGCAATATCGCCTCCATAATTTTAGGTTTTGGAGGTTTGAAATTCTTATTAAGTAAATAATAGTCTACAACACATACTCGTTCATATTTACCACCACAAGATTCCAATGGAGCTTTATATGCTGAACAGGAACCACAAAATAACTATTAACAATTAGAGAAAAAGAAAATATCTTTAAAAATTATGGTTTGATTTGCACAGAGAACTTTAAAAGTTAATTAGTTGTAAAAAGCAGCGAAAATCATGGTAGACAAATGTGTATTAAGTTACGTTCCCAAAGATCTTGCCATTACTTAAAGCAAAACATAATACTATCTACTTGGTAACCTATGTCTAACTTTGGGATTATTCACTTGATAATCTTATCATACACAAGTAATGCTCTGATAATATATCTACGATCAAATGTCAATAACCAACAAATTTCTTCAACCTTTAAGAGTCATCATGGAATCTATGAATTGTGATCTAGGGGTAGAATTCAGGATAAAATTTTCGTCATATTCAGGACTCATCAGATAGATGTTTATATATGCGCGTTGATGTACGCACAGAAACATATATCGAAACAATTACTTTGAACGCCATGTTTTATGCTTAAACATTGAAAATACTGTGACTTTTGGACATTTCTAATTTATCTTATTCAACTCAACATCTTAATAGAATTTCTTAAAACAACTAGCATTATTGTACCACAACAATATGGACTTAGCTATTTCAAAGATTCTATTCATTGCCTTACAATTGACAAAAAAGTTATGATATATATAGTAAAAACACTGTACAATATTATATCTTTATAATATGGCCGAATGAAAGTAGTAACTGAGGTAAAAGATAAGAGATCATTGAAAATAGCCTAGTATGGATAAAATAATTTATGGGAATAGTTTATAAAATTATTTTGTTGTTAGTTGATTAATCAAAAATTTGCAAATTGAAAACTTTCTAGTCTTCAGAAATCTCTTATTCTCAAACTCCTAAACAGAAAGAACGGAGAAAAGTACAGAAGAAGCTTTGTTTTCAAGGTTAGTTCATAAGCTGAAAACAGGGGCGTCTTCTATGGGATGGAGTTAACGACCCCACACCCAACTCTTCTCCTTTACAAGGTCTTGAGAATCAGCTCTCCCTCTCAAAATGCTCTTACATGGCCATGTGCATACAACCACTGCCAGGGAAGTCCTACTGATAACCTTCTCGCACCAGGGAATGCTGCTTACGAAATTGAGAGGACGAAAAGTGAATGTCTGGTGCTTTGACCGGGTTAGTGGACATGGAGAGTCCACCTAGGGGAGTTGGAAAACCTTGATTCCAGACCGTTGGTGCACATGAACTCCAGGATCCTGAAGGAACAAATGGCGTATGAACTAATCGTTGATCACCGGCTACCATGGGACTGCATCTCCTAACGTCGCTCCACTGACTTGTGGATCAGACCTTTTGGTAGAAGGCTTCGGATATGGATCCGTTAGAAAACTATCTGCTTCGGTTTGGGCACCCGAGCAGTATCCCAGCTCTCACACAAATCAAATGACTTGTGTGGCGCATATTTATTCGGCTCCTCTTTGTACCAATATTTGTTTCAAATAAATAAATAAAAATCTAGCGACTGTTTTATGGAATTTTAGAGATGGATCTATAAATCCGTCAATAAACAATGCAACAGTCAAGAATTAGATAGTTATGAGAGGTTGGATTAGTTCTTTGAAGAATACGTTAACAAGTATTTTCCAAGTGACAAAATGCTTTTATTGGCAGATAAATCTATCTGAAACCAAGGTAAAGAAATATTCTATTTTATAGCAGTCTTGTCGTAATTTTATGCTAAAACTCAGTTATCTCATACAGAATTCAGTGCCTCGACTATAAGGCATATACGTTTAATTTAATGAGTGGAGGATACAATACAGCTACTCACAAAGAAATGAACCAAGCAACGTTCCAACTTATTAAGTAGTTGAAATTTCAGTACTAATCATTAAGATAGCGCTACCCATTTTATAGTTTTGATCACGAACTATACTTAGCTAAGCGATTACTAAAAAGCGTGAAGTACTTGACAACATTTTCGTCATAATATGAGACTCTTAAACAATGTACATTAACGACCCCACGTGAATCGAAACCAGGACATCAATAGCTCACAATGAGCACTTAAGATTTATACTACTGAATGGTCCATTTAGTGGTTTATATGTCTAAATCCAATCAGTAAGTAACCATCTTTGGGTCACTGCCTCTCAACTGAAGGGATGTGCTCGTCTAGAGAAATGATTGTCCCAAATCTGAAGCTCCGTGAAGTTGTGCGGAAGTTCTGTTGATGAGTCACATACTAGGATAAAGACAGTTGTTCAGTGTCTCCTAGCCTTTCATGATTATTTAAATGAAACCAGTTCGAGATGTAAACTATGAAATTTAACAACCTCCACAAACCGTAAATAGTTTACTCATTCCGTTTAAGTTTCCAAATTTATCACAATTATATCATAATTAATCTTATTTCGCTGTCATTTTTAAAATGATTTTATCAATAATGTTGACAAATTTATAAATACTGGTTAGATTGAATTAGTTTATAGTTCTTTTCTCAGGCATGATTTACTTTTCAATATGAAGTCTAATAAACTTGTTGAATGAGAAATCTTATAACACTAATGTATCTCAAAGTAGATCACATGTTGGAAGTGAATTTTTAAGTTTTGTTTTGTATTTTTGCTTTACATGGAAACATGTAAAATTTACACGAAATGATTATTATTTGATTTGGATGTCCGATTAATTAGGTTAAATAACAAATGTATATTAATTTTTAATAGTTAAGATCATAAGTTGATTGAAGTTAGACCACCATGGAAAACCTGGAAGCAATGGACGTTCGTTCCTTCCTATTGTGGGACAACTCAGCAATGTGCATTTACGATCCCGCCTTGCGAGATTCGATCGCAGGACCTATCTGTCTCGCGCGAGAACACTTAAACTATAGATCACTGAGCCAGTTTCCAACGGTGTTAATGTCTAACTATATTAAATGAGTTTACCATTTATTCGTAAACAATACATGATAAAAATATGTACCTCAATTCAAGATTTTTTATTTATTTATTTTAACACATAGATATTGGTACAAGGAGGCATCAAATACATATGCGGCACACGGATCTCATTTAATATGTGTGAGAGCTGGGATACTGCCCGGGTGCCCAAACCGAAGCAGGTGCTTTTCTTAGGGGGCCATACCTGAAGCCTTTGACCTAAAGGTCTAATCCACAAGGCAGTGGAGCAACGTCAGGAGATATAGTCTCATGGTAGACGGTGATCAACGATTAGTTCATACGCCATTTGTTCTTTAAGGATCATGGAGTTCATGTGCACCAATGGTTTGTAATCAGGGTTTTCCAACTCCTCTAGGTGGACTCTCCATGTCCACCAACCCGGTTAAAGCACCGGACGTTCGCTTTTCGTCCTCTCGATTTCATAAACAACATCCCTGCCACGAGAAGGCAGTGAGTAGGACTTCCCTGGCATAGGCTATATACGCGTGACTATGTGAGAGCATTTTGAGAGGGAAAGCGGACTCTCCCCACTCTCGGCCATACCAGGGTATTTGGGTCATTTATTATTGAAGGAACTTTCAAAAATCCAACCATTATTATCATTATTACATTTTAATTTCGTCTATTATATTCAATAAATTCTTTCATTTTTTAAATGTTTATCATGTTTGTTTTTCCAACTATATCACATAAACAAACTAGTTTGTTTTCTATGACTGAACGTTCACTATTCGTGCATTTGATTCACAAACGTTTTTTTTATGTATAAAACTTTTTATTTTTATTAGCATAAAACACTAAAGTGTTGAATAGAATAAGTTGTCAGGTGGCAACATGTAGCATGATCAATAGTTTATTCTGCTAATAACACCCTAAATAATAATAATAAATATGATAATAATAGTAATAATAATGTCAATTATTTATTATGTGCGAACTTATGTACTTGCTTTTCAACAAAAAAACTTTTTTTACGTGAAGGTGAGACTATAATTTATAGACGAACCAATCAGGTATGAGATAACAGGTCTTGAATTTTGGCGCAAAATCCATTCACATCCATTTGGCTAAATAACAGCTGATTTCAGTTTGTGATGAAAACCTTATATCCAATTCCTAACCCTAACTATCAACTGTAAATATTAATCCCAATTCCTCACACTGGTTTATAACCCTGATTTAACCGTAGTATGTTGGTAGACATTCTCAAGGTCTTTTTAGCGTCGCCTTAAGGTCGTCCATAAATTATTGTCTCATCATAACATCTAGTTAAACAGAAATAAGTTTAGTAGGATTCGAATCTACAAACTAATAATTTAAGTAAATTTTTATAGCAGCTATGTAATCTCGGGTGCATGTTACATTTTAATGAGGACTGGTCGCCTGAATATACCTGTATCCGAAAGTCGACGTCAAAACTGGGAATCAAATGAGGTACTTTACGTTTCAAATGTTCAACGTACTATCCTTTTAGCACAGAATACACATATATCAAATGAGGCTGATCAATTGCAGTATATAAGATCAACGGAAAGATTCAGACAACCAAAACAAATGAATTAGGATTCACTTTATTGCACAAGCCAATGGCTATTCAGATTCAGTAAATGAGTGGATAATGTGTTGGACGTTTGAAGAGAGAGGTGCTGGGTTCGAGTCCCAACGTAGACACCAACATTCGCAAGAGTCCTACACTAGGACGAGACGGTATTCAGGTGCATGGTTGTTCAACATAAATGAGTGCGCGAAGTCAATAAAATTGAGCCATCTCCATAGCCCTATACTGAAAATAAAATAGTGTTGAATAATTTCAAAATGATTGGGATAGTATTGTGTTATTAGCTTTCTACAAAAATTAAATATCCCCTGGTTATCTAAAAGGACTACAGAAGTCAGCCAAAAATTCAATCATGCAACATCTAGTTAATTTCAATCACTTTGCTTCGACAAGATCCTTTTTCTAGAAATCATAAATACAGTCAAAAGAGTCGACTGAAGAGGAATGCAAATGAAAAGCCATAACTATCCACTTATCCAATCCAAAAATTAAAGTACAAAAACAGTATATTCAATCCCTCATTTTATATACAGTCTTAAGATTCCTTTCTATCTTCCATAATCTATTCCTACCAAATTATTTTTTACAACTATTAATTAATCATTATTACCTGTTATATCCCGATGAGAAGAATGAATGTTAACTGTTGAGGTCTATTTATGGACTAATAATATACATTTTTTTATCGTATAATTGATAAGTAACTAAACTATTCATATTCGTGTTCCTCTTATTATGAGCTTTATCTCAACCTATAAACTATTATTATACGATTTACCATTCTTGAGTTATGTCCAGTCAATTAATTACAGTCTTGCACATTCACAGCCACTTTGGCTAGATCGTGTACAAATGTTATTTTCTATTTTACGGTACAATGTCGTCTGTTTAGTTGGTATATAAACCCAGTATGCTTGAAAGAAATGATTCATATTGCAGAGGCTGAGATTGATGTTCTGGATTTAACAGGCCGGACTAGGCAGAAAGTAAGACCGATAAGGAGTCTAGACTGCTCGTACTTGTTTTATGCGTCATTGGTCCGGTCGATAATTCACTGTTCTCTAATTGGCGGTAACGTCAGGGCACACAGGCCACAAGTTATAACATGACCTTAATAAGTACTTTTTGTTATGTTGCAATAAGTAGAAAAATCGTATTTCTGACGATGTTTTGTGACTTTATGTAAGTCACTTCTTTGAGTAAATAAATAACCGAACATTAAACTAACACAAATTTAAATCGTACCCCCCCCCCCAAAAGCTCAATTTATTTAAAACTATGAGGTTCAACTTTGGCATGGATACCTACATTATCACCTTTATTTAATTAATCTGATCTTAGTATTTAACAAGTAAACAGTTACCTTCACCTTAACATTTTTCATTGAAATATTATTATAATATAACTTTCTTTTTAATATCTGATTTTTTGTAAACAATTATTTTTTAATGGTTAAGATCACGAGCCAGTTGAAACAAGACCACCATGGAAAACCTGGAATTACTGGACGATCGTTTTGTCCTATTGTGGGACTCCTCAGCAGTGCGCATTCACAACCTCGCCCCCTGCGAGATCAGAACCCAGGAGCTACTGGTTTTGCGCGCGAGCACTTAACCACTAGACCCCTTAGCCGGCATCCAACGGTGTTAATGTCTAACTCCAACTAATCCACGGAATTGAGCGACACATCCACTATTGTCTTCAGTGAGTTACTATCTCACAACAGACCTGGTTGAACTCCACTAGTCACTACTTCTCACTAGAACTCCAGGATATACCTCGTGCAGCCAGTCACTAGTGAGCATATGTTGATTAACATCAGTTGGGTTTTGCGGATATCATAGTAATTTCAATGGTTAAGATCATGAGTTTTTCAATAACATTCAATTTTAGGATAGGCAACTGTTTTAAGCAAATAAATAAGTTTGTACAGTTACAATAGAAGGAATCATTAACAAGAAAAATTTTTTTGTTAATTTGTCTTTACAATCTAATGGTTGAAGGTGTATGTTTTAAATTATTAAGAAGTTAGGATAAGACTATAATTTATGAATGACATTTGAGCGCCACTAGGATAACCTTGAGAGTGTTCACCTAATAACTAGGACTAAATGAAGATTATAAACCAGTGTAAGGAATTAGAATCATGAGTTACAGTTGATGGTTAAGGTTAGAAATTACATCTAGGGTTTTCATTACGAACTGACATCAGCTATAATGCTAAAACTCTATTTATCCAAATGACTGAGTGAATTTCGCACCAAAATCTGAAACCTGTTATCTTATACCTGATTGCTTCATCCATAAATTATAGTCTCGCTGAAATTAGTTTAAAGATTTTTCTGAAATTTCACTGTATTGTTCAAAAATCTCAAGTGAAAATGTTTGAAAACTGTGAAACTTATTTTGCTTCGATAAAACAGGAATATTGCTTAGAATAATTGGTTGTAAAATAATGAATAAGAATTGTAGTCCAGATAGATGCTTTCGATGTTCTTGTTTTTTACTCACCTGAAAAGTTAATAATGAGTGGTCTCTGAGATAACGAGCATAGAATTTATATTTAAACCACAGAAGTGACATCGATCTGCTAATAATTTCCATTGTGCACAATTAAAAGTTGCTAAACTTTAACACCTACTTGCACAGTGTGGTCCAAAGATCCCGACGATACTCCTGAGACAGTTATGGCTGAATTCAAACAGTTGCTAGCAATTACGAGATAGGAAATGTTGGACTTTACAAACATATAACAAAACTATTGCCCAATTAAGGTCCTAATGGGACTAAATGTTCTTCACGTGAAATTATTAATGAATACATAATGACGTTGTAAACTAAAGCGAAAATTGAAAACACACAGTCAAAATAAAATGATACATACCTTGCCACATGCACGACAATGATGTCGTCGATTAAGTGTAGTAAATTCTGTACAACAATTTGTACACATAGTGGATGATTCATCTTTAACCCATTGAGCTGCAACTTCACCTAAATTATTTGCACTCATTATTGACTTCTAATGTTTAAAAAGGAATTTTAAAAGATTAAACAGAAAGTAGTAAGTGAGATTCTTCCTCATCAATATGCATAAAGATGTTTTTAATGCTAATAAACAGATATACGCTGTAGGATTTAATTTGCCTACAGATTAATTTTTTGAATAAGTCCTTATACTGTTGCACATAGAGTTATAGCAGTGCTATGGTCAAAACAGGTAACTATGGATGTAGCCAACAATTATCATCTGTTTCTAAAATTTAACTTAATACAAATAGTACAAAACTCAAAATAGTAAAATTAATTACTAAGAGAACAATAAACACACATATACCAAACAGTAACAGGGACACAACACAATGATTCAGTGACGTAAGTTCTCTAGCTCGACTTCTTTCTCCGATTATGTTATATGTAACCTAGCTAACTCAAAGTCTATCAGGGGGTCGGTCTTCAGCTCATTATTATTAAGTTGGTCTTCAAGAATAAGATAAATGCTGCATTGATGGTGATCGCGTATAATGGCGGGAATCTACTAAAACTGGAAAAGTCGACTACTATTAGATTCCAATTGAATGATCTAAAAGCGTCGTGTTTTTAACGATATACGAAGACCCCAGGCTCAACTACTACCGGTAAGGAAGGAATCATGATTACATAGTACCAAGAAGTTTCAAATCTAATATATAGCTTGTCAAAGTTGATTCAAGGGACTTATTATGTATTGGCATACGCTAACGCTAATATGTCCTAATAGGCTTCAAAGTCTGCTATAACACTCAAAATGTTTTAATAAGTTCGTAACCACTACAATAACTTAACAAATTGGTCTTATATATTGCCACCATCTGATCTGAAATCCACAATTAAAATGAAGCAGATAGATATAGATAAACGTGTAAATGACTACAAATATTGTAATTATATCACACTAATTGTAGGAAGATAGATATCAGAGTATTGAAAGAAGAGTAGTTGTCATTACTTAAAAGTAAACAACATTAATATCATACAAATAATAACCAACTTACTTTTTCATTGAAACAATTACTATTCGGTTTATTACATTCACAATCAATAGCCTGTTGAAGTTCACGCCACCAAAGTTGTTTTTCGTCATCATTTCTTGAAATAAACGGTAATTAAATAGAAAAAAAACGAAAGACAAGGGATTAGACGTTTTTATGGATGCAGCTATTAGGTGTTTACCACACATATGAACGTTTGACAAATCAAGTTATCAGAAGGGTTTTTGTGGATATTATAATAATTTCAATAGTTGTGATGAGTCAATTGAAGCTAGACCATCATGGAAAACCCGGAAGCATTCGAAGTTTGTTTCGTCCCAACATGGGACTCCTCAGAAGCCCGCACCCGCGATCACGACTTGCGAGACTCGAACCCAGGACCTATCGGTCTCGCGCGCGAACGCTTAACCTATAGACCACAGAGCCGGCATCCAACGGTGTTAATGTCTAACTTCAAATAACCCACGAAATTGAGCGACACATCTGTTATATCCTAGTGAAGATTACATTACAAGTAACGTCTGAGACCTATTAATGCACTAATATTATTTATATATTCTCATGGTATAAATATTCAGTAACTAGAATATGTATATCTATATTCCCCTTGTTATAAGCTTTATTTTGATCTATAATTTATTATTGTACGATTTGCTGTTCTTATGCTATGGTCAGTTTATTGACTACTGCCTCCCACGTTCACAGCCACTTTTGGCTTTATTGTGTATGAATGTTATTTCCTATTTTATGGTGCGTTGCGGTCTGTTTGGTTGATATATAAACCCAGTATATCTGAAATAAATTATTCGATTCGCATAGTGGAAGCTCGTATTGGTGTTCCGGACTCAAGTGGACGGGCTACGCGTACATAGGACCAATAAGGACGCTAGGCTGCTCATACCGATCGAACGTCATTGGTTTGGCACAGTGCTAAGATTTTATAAATCGTATTTTGATTAGTGGATAAATAACGTGATAAAAAGCCGGACATAAAGTCACAACAATATCCACTACTATCTTCAGCGAGTTACTATCTCACAACAGACCCGGTTGAACTCCACTGGTTACTGCTTCTCACGAGAACTCCAGGAAATACCCCTTGAAGCCAGTCACTAGTGAGCATACGTTGATTAGTATCAGAAGGGGTTTTTGTGGTCAGTCAGCCAGTCAGTAACAACGTAGAACTTCGTACGTACGTACATCAGTTCGAGTTGCCACACCACATAAGCACAGAGATGCAGTTGTCGATTCAAATCCCGTAGTGCTAGATGTAGTAAAATTATAAGCTGTAATCAGAAAAATTAGGGTTTGAAGATGTTATTCAAGGAGTATAATCCAGTGAAATAAATTTGGAAAGAGAAAAAAGGGACATGAAGAATTCAGAAGATTAGAATTTGGGTGAACACAAAGAGTGGATGCACCTTCGCCATTGTAAACGATTTTGAGCCATGTCATTCAGGGTCTCTAACCATCGGTTGCTATCATCTCGCGATCCCCAACCAGGTAGTCTACACCTACGAACATGACTCAGTCTACTTGCCAGTGACTTCATGGACTTGTGCCATGCTTTGGTCTGGCCTCCCCTAGCTTTCTTCCAATCTACTCCTATACAACAAAACATCGCACATCGAGGCAGTCAGTGGATATTATAGTAATTTAAATAGTTGTGATGGGAAACCTGGAAGCACCGAACAGTCGCTTCGTCCTATTGTGATACTCCTCAGTAGTGCGCACCTACGATCTCGCCTCGAGAGATTTAAACCTTATTCCAACTGCCAAAGTTTCATGAATCAATCACAGTAAGCCTTATTTATGTATTTACTTTTCGTAGGTCACATTTAAGTAGCTGAACACGTATAAAAATGCTTAATTATGGCACGTTTACTCTACTATTTTTAACAGAAAATACCAGATCAATATTTTGACCTAATAATGTTTGAAATAATAGTGTAAAGTATGACTGATGAATACAATCCAGTAATCTAAGGTAGTTTTATTCATTTTATATCATCAATTATATCTGTTGTATAAAAGTTAATAATACTACCATCTCAAATGAAAACTAGCCATAAAAGGCGGATTTTTCACCAACTGAATCGTAGTATCTCTCAGAAAACAAGACAGCAGATATTCAACTAATAAAACGATCACTTGAAAAATATCATCCCAGCAGATTCCATACTGTTCACCATTTTATCGAAGCTGGGACTGAGTGGAGAAAGCAACGAGATAGTCAGTATAAGGTGCGATTTTTTTAGTATGGAACTCAGTTGTATAAAACTAAAGGCTATTGCTTTGCCACAATGTTTTGGTTAGGGTCTTAGAGATCATGTGACTTAGTGGCTTGAGACGTTATCAAACATGATTTAGAATAGAAGCCAGTAGTTATATTGATGTAGCATTCTATTGCAGTTTTCATAAATGTGAGATGGATTTTTCTAATTGAGAGGAATTTATTCAAGTTGTAGTTTTATTAGACTGTATTTTTCTTATCAGATACCAACCTTGTTTGTTTATTCCTTGATTTCATAAATGATAAGTCTTCTAATTGAACGCTAGATTCGGTTCCTAAGGTCTTCTAGTAACCCTCAGGCTAGATATACACAGCTACTTGAACACGAGAGAAAAGGTGAGAAATATAGAAGAAAAGCTTTACTCCAAAGGTTTGTTTATGTACAGAAAATCTGTGTTTTTTATAGTATTTTAGATGGCCTTAGGTTTCTGGAAAAATCTGGAACGCTACTAAACATAAGAGCAGTATAGGTAATCATTCAATCAGAAACTCAACATGCGACTTCTCACTATCTAGATGTTACTGGCAAAACTTCTGCTGAATGCTGATTGGATAAGATGCTTCTCAGCGTTTTCGGAGCCTTTTTTCGATGTTTTCTGGATCTTCCCAACAATAAAGTTTTCGACTTTTAATTCGATTTGAAACGATTTACATTGTCCAGTTGTTCATATTGCCTGAAATTTGATCAGTATTAGTTGGCACATGTGCATCCTGTGCGAACTGGCTCGATATAACAATCATTTCACAAGCTTATTAACAATAAATGAACTGTGGCCAACAGTTAAATCAACGAAAAGTATTTTGTCCTATTTTGGGACTCGACAGCTCAATATAACTGCATCCAAGCTTATGTTCGTCCCAGTATTCAAACACAGCACCTTTCACTTCAAATGTCATCGGATTATCTATTTAGCTACTGCGTTCAGATAGCCACTTACTTTTATGACGGGTACGAGTTTTAATTCAATTTAAAGTGATTTGAATTATCCCATTGTTGATATTTTGACTGGAAGTTGATCAGTCTTAGTTTGAAGTGAAAGGTACTGGGTTCAAATCTCGTAATGGACACCAACTCTGGGATGGAGCTATATCATCTGACAAACCCCAAAATATGGAGAAACGGGCCTCCTAGATTCGACTGATAGCCATAGTCCATCTATTCTTTATTTCCCACTTTCATTTCAAAATACTGTTATTCTATTTCCTGTGGCTCATACTTTCGACGACCAGTTGTATCAAACTCTGTGTTTTGCATAAAGGATGAGATGACTGCAGAACCGTACCATAAACAGACATGTCCTTTTACTTTGGTTGGTCTTAAATACTTCCAACACAAGTTTGTCCTGTTTAATGAGTGGAAACTTTTCAATACTTGATTCTCAAGTGAAACTTCATAATGTAACAACGTATTTCAGCCAGTCAGCTACAATGTAGAACCAGGCACATATATGCATCGGTCCAAGTTGCTAATGAGGTATGGCAACTTGGACCGATGCATATATGTGCCTGGTCCTACGTTGCAGCTGACTGACTGACTGACCGCATTAGCACAACAAGATGAACACCAAATTCATAGAAGCAGTTAATTCAGTGGTCGTAATATATAAAATAAAGATTGAATATAAGGATATAATACAGGAAGAAAGAATTAGTTGGTAGAAAGAAAGATATAAAGCAGTTTTAAGGGAAGAGAGAGATTTTATGCTATGTATTTACCATTTAGTTACCAATAAACAATGGATATAGTCTTATATATGGTCAACTGTTATTCAAAAGGAACCTGACAAGCAAATAAAGGTATTTATGATACTCTTCATTTACTGCAATGTGACTATTCACATTTGATCGCTTATCGAATTCCTAATGTCAGTGTGATCAGTTGACTGCAGTAGAACTAAGGGTAAGAGATAGTGAACTGGACAAATCAAAATATCACTGATTTTTTACTAGTCTAAGGCAAATGATGTTAGATATCACTTGTTAGGGAAAATTTCCATAATGATAGAAAAGTTGGTGTTTTCTTCATGGGTTCTATATCATATTGAGAATTACTAAACATAGTTACACAATCAAACGATTGACCAACTTCAGACTATGGCACAATTAAGTAGAACAAAATATCAGCACACATCAATTATTTATCGTTTATTGATTTTTTTGATGTTTAGATTATTATACTTTGTGGAGATGTATATATGTATGTAATAATGAAATGAAAGTGCAGTCATAATTTTACCAATATTTTTCTTTAAAGGTTATTGATTTTATTCAAATTGGAAGATCTATAAGAAGGAATACTAGAACGCAAGATCTAGAAAAAGATAAAGAATAAATATATCTGAGCAATTGTGGACGATTTTAAGTCATGTTACTTAACGTCTGTCTCTACCTACTGATTGCTTCTAACACATAGAACCTAATCAAGTAGTTGACATCTGTCAACATGGCTAAGAATCACAGACAATTCGTTCATGGATTTATGCTCAGTTTTAGTTTGGCCATTTCTAACTAGTCCTTACACAAACAATCTGGGTCGAACCCGAATAAGTAAATAATGTGCTTGATAGTAAATAAATTACATTCAGATGAGGGGATTTCAATTCAGCTCTTTTAGAATATACACGGATAACTAAACAGTTTTAGAGAATTAAGCAATAAAGGTTTAGCGTCTTATTTTTTCGGTTAGTAGTTGCTGTAAACTGGTTAAATTTTACCAAAAAATCTTAACGACGTATTCATTAACCCAAATGACACTGCAAGATACTTATTGATGGAAACTGGAAGATTTCTGCGAACTAGAAAATAACCTTTTTTATTATCTATTCCATCAAGTCAGTCAATAGTGAACTATGGAGCTAATACAATTTACTGTTGAATGTATAGTGCACAGTGACAGTGAGCGTTTTAAATGTTACCTTCAACAATCACAATAAGTCTTACTTTAGACATATGGTGCAGACAATACTTTGAATTGTTATCTAAGAAGATGTAAATAAGAATATTAAAGAGGAAAAATGTATTTGTAAAATTTCAGCGGATGAATTTTGAAGAAAATCCAACGTTTCGCCTGCCAATCTAGTTCAAGCTTTTTCAAGGAAATATAATCAAACATCAAAATTATCGAATATAAATAGGTACATGGTTCTCCGAAGACCGAAGACAACATATGGTGAATGAAATTTCTTCTCACTTCCATATACATACAATCTGTTATCTTAACATTTTTCACACCACATATCTCTTACACACTAATGTAAATACCTACTTTAAACATTGTTAACGTTGATTGGATGACTTATTCAGTAAACAGTAAACCGGAGAACCATGTACCTATTTATATTAGATAATTTTGATGTTTGATTATATTTTCTTGAAAAAGCTTGAACTAGATTGGCAGGCGAAACGTTGGATTTACTTCAAAATTCATTCGCTGAGATTTTACAAATACATTTTTCCTCTTTAATGTCTCACATTAACTCGGCGCCCAAATACTGTGAAACTAATCGATCAAACTTAGACGAAAGTTCTTATTTAGCAAATAATAATAATTGGAAAATCTATCATGATACAATCATGTTAGGTACGAACAAGATAACACCGATAATAATGAATAGTAGCCACGTAATACTCAATGCTGACTGAAGCTGCAAATCCGAAAGATTAAGTAATGACACAGTGGTCTGAAGATGAAAATCTACTCAGAAGGTTAAAATATCTCAGATACGATCTCTAAGACTAAACGATTCTTTTAGCGTTCCTTAACTCTTAATGAATGTCTAACTAGACTTGGTCCGTGATGTAAACTATGACATTCAATAATCTCCAAAATCCACCTAAACTAATATCAGTTTTAAAACAGTGGAGTTAAAAACTGTTACACACTGAAATATACTAAAACTAGTTAAACTTTCAATTAACTAATTTTTTCAGGGTACTAAGTGGAAGGGTAAAATGGCTGATCAGATTGCATATCTGTTATGTCCCGACAAGAAAATTGAATGGTAACTTTTGCGATCCATTTATGAACCAATAATAAACGTATATTTTTAATGTATAATTATTAAGTAACTGAACTATGCATATTCATATTCCTCTCATTATAAGCTTTATTTTGACCCATAAACTATTATTATACGTCTTACCATTCTTGAGTTATACTCAGTATATTAATTTCTACCTCCCTCATTCACAGCCACATCTGGTTAATTCTTTTACAAATGTTGTTCCATATTTTATTGGTACGTTGTGGTCTGTTTGATTGGTATATAAACTCAGTATGTTTTAAATATAATGATTCATATCGCAGAGGCTCAGATTGGTGTTCTGGACTTAACTGGCTGGGCTAGACAGGGAGCAAGACCAATCAGGACTCTATGCTGCTCGCACATGTCTTACGCGTCCTTGGTCCGATCGATAAGTCACTGCTCTCTAATCGGCGGTCACGAGTTATAACAATATCTTCACCGGAAGAAATGGTAGAAATATATATTACGTTTGCGTAAACACTGCCTACAAAGATGTTCCATGTTTCCCAGAGCAGGATTAGGCTATGAGAGAGCTAGAGGAGGCCGAACGAAGACATAGGATCAGTTTATGAAATTATTAACTATTGATTTGAGTCATGCTGGTGGTTTTCAGCTATATGGTTGAGGTTCAGGCAATTATCATGGCTAATAGTTTGGTACGCTATCAGTCATGGCTCAGAATAGGTCACTGTGGAACAGATGCATTTACTTTTCGTCACTCTTTAGATCTTGAGTTTTAAAATTATTTCATACCTTTCAATCTTCGAATTCAATATTTCGAATGATATTCGCTATGCCTAATCGTTCCTACTACCAGTAATACTCTTGCTACTTCTACTAATCTGACATTTGATTTGATGTGATGTGAAAATTTGAACAAACGTATATATATATATATATATATATATATATCAAGTTCTGATATTTCTTATGACTGATTAAATTGAAACGAATGATTTTATAATTTTAAAAAATAAAGCTTACTTACGAAAAAGCAACCTCGACGCATAGCTCTTTCGCTTTAATTCTAAAACAGTGTTCAACATTGATTTCTTCATCATCTTTGACTTCACATAACTAATTGATAAAGAAAAGTAGTATAATTTTGAAGTTGAAGCATATGCTATTTGTATAAAGTCGGATATAAGGTGAAGTGCTAATTATGAAGTTCTCAATCCCCACATGATAAAATTGAGTAGTAAAGTACTCATTTTTGCCATAAGAAAAAAAACGAAGATCCAATTATTATTAAAAGCTACGGGATTATATATATAATATCATTAACCTCATTATTGACATTCACTGGATGGAAGCGTCAGTAAATGTTTTAATATTTCTCGTTCTTGAATACTGATAATATTTAACGGTTTTTACTCAAGACTGGGTAGATAATGAAAAGACGTGAATAAAGGTTACATATTAGATGGAGAATGAACGTTGACAAGTTAAGAGTTTATCATCCCGACGTAGATTCGATCCGACAAGCTATGAATCTAGCTTGATTAAATATTCATATCACAAGTTTATGGTCAACGAATAAACTCTAACACAGGTATGGAATAATAAATCTTTCAGTAAAACGGTTAACCTTAAATGCTAATAGGGAGATATGATAATGAACGTTGTATGTCACAATTGTTTTAAGTCATAGACAAGAGGGACCGGATTAAATTAACTAATGTAATTAAAGAAAATGCATCGAAGACATCGAGTTTACGATATATTTGAAAACCACGTTCTTGCTTTCATTATATCTTGCTACGTTTTATAAAATATACCATCATTGATCTATTTTAATCTGGAATACCGGGTAATATCGGTATCCCTGAAACTGAAACGTTGACAGTAAACTAGATGTGATAAATTGATTACACGAATTTCACCATTAAATTGGTGCCATTTTTGTTCTGAAAAATAATTTTGATTATCAGGAAGGAGTTTGTGAATGGTGTTTGTTCTGAATATAGTTTATAACACAACTTTAAAGCTAAATATTACCGAAAACTATAGGTTAGTTTACTAATTTAGTGCAAGAACTTTTACTAATTTAGATAGACTTAAGTATATGAATCATGTCTGAAACAATAGATCTTTAATTAGGAAAGTCTATGAACACTAGACAAGATCACCATGAATTTAGTTAATGACAATGTCTTTCAAAATGATATACATAATTTCAAAATAGAGGACGACAACAACACAAAAACATCAGAGTGCAACGAACCCCATCAAATAATTAAGATGTACACATAAATTATAAGAAAACTTACTGTCATTCCAGCCAAACCTATCTCTGACTTAACTTGATAACGACCAACGGCATTAGGGGATTCAGTCATGACCAAATATTCGGAAAACTGAAAATAAGGAGACAACTTGAAATCTCCATGTTTTAATAAAGCGAAAAGACGAACTGTAAGCGATATGCTGGAAAAATACACCTAATTATAACTAAATGACGTTATACCCTGTGATATGAGTCACACTTCAGAGGGAAATAGTTTTCGTCATGAACATCTGATAGTGATTGTCAACCTGCTGAACATTTCAGTACGAAAATTATAAACTTAATTGTAAAAAGGTTTATTAGCTGAAGTAGTTTTGATTTATTGTGCACCATTTGACTTGTAACCTGGAACATGAGTAGTGTAAAAACAAGCACATGGCTTCGTCGGGTTTCTACACTGTTGAGGGATATTTTTAAATGCTAAGGTAGTGTAAATATGCTAATAAAATCATTGCTGAAGATGAAGAGTTCGTAACACTTCTGAATCACTGGTTGTCCTTGTTTATCTTTATACTAGTGGACTGAATTACTAATTTGATGCAGCTGTAACCATTTACTCAATGAATTGTTGAGTAGAACTAATAAATATCCTATTAGAGTGCGGATGTTGGCGTTTTCTATTTGGCACAGAAAATATTTGACACAAATGTGCTGCCTAAAACGAAACGAGAATGTGGTGAATAGAAAATACTTTCATAAAACGTAGTGCCTATATGAATCTCATCTATCAAAGATGTTCAAGTTGATGAACGATGTTCCAGGGCGTATTGAATACACAAAGGTTCATTTTATTCCAACGGTTACTAAACTCCAAGGGGTTCATTCAGTGAACAAATAACTGATAGTGTTGAGGTAAATAACTAATTAACATAGGTTTGATGAGCAATCAGGTGGACCATGAATGTGTCAAACTAAGTAGTAAGAAACATTAAAAGAGTTAGAAACTTATTTTTCGTCAATCTTAGACAATATATATAAGTTAGTGATTTAACCATGTGACAGAAAGAATAGCTTACAAGAAATAAATATCTATCCAAAAGCCGTCTATGTATTGAACGTCTAGGTAGTTTCTTTGCGGGACCTTCTAGATGTAGTAACGGAATTTGAGTATACTTTACACGAAGACCATCCAGTTTACCAAGTGCTTCTCTAGCATTCAACATTTTCTCCTTGAAAAAAGGACAAACGTAATTTTAGCAAAATCGATTGGGACTAAACTTAACAAGTAACCAGAAAATTAAGATAAGAAATAAACGCTAACCAGTTAGAGATTGAAATACTTAATGTGCAGTGTGAAGTTTTATTCCCACTATATGTACTGAATTATTTACTACGTTAAATAGATGCAATTATTTGACAAACAACACCACTAAATACTTTGAGAAATTAAACCAAATTTAGAAATGACTTCATACTGGTGCATGCTAACTGTGATAATTATTTCAAGGTTGTGAAAACTAGTTCTACGGTTAATAGACAAGAGAGAAGCTTAAAAATAATTGCAACTGATCATTTACATGGATGTACTCCGCCATGATCAAGTATCCTTCCATTTTGTCTACTTTGAATCTTTTCTGACTTTTACCTACCGAAGTTACATTCACGAATAATTATTTTAGGTTTGTAAAATTATTGGTATGGTATATGCAAAAACATTTGTCACGGTAGACTAACCTGCAAAATAATTTCTTGTTCCGAACGATCCAATAAATCCTTGATGAAATTCCAAGCCTCTAAATTACGGTAAGAACGGGCTTTATATTATTGATGGGCTCACTTGTGACATTTGTATATTCTGGGTCGCTCGGAAGCATGGTTCCTTTAAGCCCTAACTCAAATTATCGGAGATGTTCTTTAACAATTGAAGCTTACTATAAATGAGATCTTTGTATCGTGGTAATGCTGTGCTGACACCATAGAACATCCCAGGAACATTCTGAATACGTTGCTCTTGATACTGAGATTTTGCCTAGAATGTTATATGAAAGATGAAAACTTAATGAACGAATAAGCTATTTAAGTATCATTTGTGAACGTAAAATACTTGGCGTTAGATGTAAAAATTGTATTTAAATAACCTGAGCGATTGAAAGTTGAATGGTTCCAACGTTTCGTTCGGTAATCGCTGAGAGCATCCAAGTACATTTTTCGCATCTAATGTTTTCTACATAATTGACGCCCAATCTTTCCCAAGCCATTTGTTCGAACTTCGATGCATAATCACATAAACCATATGATATTACATTTTTTAAAGTTAATACAACATGCGACAAGGTATACAGTTTGCTTTACACTTTTGACTTGATGCCTATTACATTGACAAGTGGCTTAGTGAATAAGTAACTTGAACTTCAATCATGGAGTCGATGACTGAAACAGCAAACAACCTACTTTGATTTAAACAATCGAATACCACCGCCAGTTCCACACAGTGTGGCACAAATTTGCGCACAAGAACCTATACTTACACATCGTAGCAAAAACAATTATGAATTACCTGCAGGTTGAAGTGAAAAAATTGATTCCGTCACATAGGCTGAAATTTGAAAGGATCCCTAGACTACAGTTCAGAATTTCACGGTTAGATTTCCAAAATGACGTCTATACAAAGATTTATAAACTCAAGTATTTCACTAGTAATACATAGATTGAGTAAGCTGGTTTACTAAGAGATTGATTACTTTTTCTTCTCTTGATCTAGAGGATAAAGTGTTCCACATAATAATATTGATGATAGCGGAAAGCTAAGCTCAGAAGGCATATCATGCAACCATAACAAATAAGTTTTGGGTGATAATACAACATATCTTTCAATTGTCAAGCTTCGAAAATATTCACGACTGAGTACTTATAACAAGACTTTTCCGTACGATTTTAAAAGCCACAATGTGAGACAATGAAATACAAATTTTATATCTTAAACACCAAAAGATTTAGTTTATTCGACTTACAACGATACCTTTACATATATTTTGAAGCTCTTCATTCGTGGAATACATTTCCGAAAAAGTCTTGAAATTCACTGCATAACGACATAAGAAGCTCTTGTATATATTCAAGATTTGCATCTCCTTGTCACTGGTAAAAGTTGAGGGCAATTCTATGTCTTCAGCTTCACAGGAATCAAAACTTTCAGTCAAATGTTCATGGACTTTAAACAACGACGGTATATCCTTGAACATTCCATTAATTACGCTGTTACATCTTAATGACGAAACATTTTGTAACTCATCACTGACATCCTGTAATTTTCGAATGAATGAACCATACATTTAGCTAACCTTTAAAATTCTGATGCATTCTAGAAGTCTTTTACCATATTGAAGCATTTCATCATATACGGACCTGGCTATCTTCCTCTTCTTCTCCATTGCGTCTAAGTCTTTTTGCGCAGTAGATAACAACCCTTTATTGGATGTGCTCAACTTTTCTTTGAGTGTTTCATTTAGAAGATTTTTAATTTTATTGCGCTGGAAATCGAGTGCGTCAAGGAATATAGATCCCTTTGTAACAGATTCCCCAAACACATTCTTACATCCACGAATTTCCGATTCTGGTGTTTTATTTACAAGATCACACAAATAATCTGGATGTAAGATATCTAACTTGATTGATACATGTACGCAACCGCCCGACATCAAAAAAATTATCAATCAAAAACCCACCGACTTAGGTCATAGCGACTTTTAAGCGACTTAAACAACCTAAAAATTAAACCATTCTGTGCAGAAACAATGTATCAGTTATTCTTCAAGCCTGAAGCAAATTCAAAATAATGGGTCTTTCGTCAACTCTAGAAGTAAAAATGAAACAAACTAATTATAGTCCTCAAAAGTGAGGATTTTAAGTCGTAAACTAGTGTTGTTCAAATGGTTCAAATGGTTGAGGACGGAATAGAAGAAGCTTCCGCTTAACAGACTTCCGTGTCTAGTAGCAGGGGATCACCAATACCTCCATGCAGGAACCAAGGTATATCGACGATAATAGAAGAAAAAATGGAAATCGGTAAATCACAGTAAGATATTATCCTTAGTCCTTAAGAATATGTCATGTTGCCTCTTAAAGGACTCCTGGAAAGTCTCTTGGACTAGCCCAGACGGCAGCGAACCCCAGCATTTGGCAACTCTTAAGGAGTAGAAGTTGTGTCTACAGTCCGTTCTGCCAAGTTGTGTCTCCAGTTTCTGGGTGTTACCCCTTAGATTAGTGTTGGAACTAAGCTTATGTAGGTGTTTAAGAGGGTGTCCAGAAGTGTTAAGGATACTGCAATCCATTAGAAGGTCACTTCTAAGACGCCTATACTCTAATGGGTAAAAGATAAGTGGTTGGAGGCGCTCTTCATGAGGTTTAAATTTGAGTCCTCGAATTGATTTCGTGGCTCGCCGTTGCATACGCTCCAGAGTGTCCTTATCCTTTTGGAGTGAGGGAGGAAATACTGTGTTTCCGTACTCTGAATGGGGACGGATAAAACTATTGAAGATTATATGGAAAGTTCTTCCGTCAAACTGGCCAAAAATGCGCTTCAATGTTATCAGTGCAAGGTTTGCTCGGAAGGCATTTTTGTCACAGTTAGAGTAAGACTACAAATCGTGGGTATCAGCACTCCCCAATCTTTTTCAACCTGGAATACTTCTAGATAGGAGTTTCTTAAGTTGTAACTGTAGTCTGCAACATGTCGCAGATGGACTACGTTACACTTTGAAGTGTTGTCGCCTACCCAACTATGAAGTCGAGTCAGATCCTCCTGCTGTGGCGGCATATCCTCTTGATTGCGTATCTCTCTCCAAAGTTTTACGCCATTGGCAAAAATTAATAAGTCCGAAGTTACCTGTTGAGGAAGATCATTTATGTAGATCAAGAAGAGAAGAGGCCCTAGTACTGAGCCCTGGGGGACCGCACTAGGACATTCCGTAGCCTGAGATAAGGTGGAATTAACCCTGACCTTAAAATGTCGATTTTTCAGGTATGAAGTGAGCCAATCGATGAGAGGTGGTCTGATACCCAATCATTTGAGATTATTGATAAGACATGTATGGTAAATTATGTCAACCTTCCCCTTGCGATCAAGGATGCTTGTCCATCTATCCACCACAGTCAGCCGGTTGGTTATAGAAGAACGACTTCTCCTGAAACCATGCTGTTGGGGTGAAAAGAAGTGTAAGGATAATAAATGGTCGTGTATGCCGTCACATCAGGGACTTCATAATTTTTTAAGGTATTGAGAGAAGGGCCACCGGTCGGTAGCTTGAAGGTTCGCTGCGTCGACCTCCTTTGAAAATTGGCGTGACGTAAACCAGCTTTCGAATCTCCGCTAGTTTGCCTCAGCTTAGCGAGTGTGAGAACACCGCTGAACGGTGTTGCCAGGATTGAAGCTGTTTCCCTCAGTATAGCGAATGAACCATATCCGGGCAAGAAGAAGTGTCTTTTCTTAGGTGCTGCAGTTTCCGGTACATCAAGTCAGCGCCTAGGTTCACTTCGGAAAGTCCTGTGTAGTTGCAGATGAAGCTCTCATCAGTATAGTTGATGTGAGTCGGTCGAAATATCCGAGAGTACTGTTCAATCGGAAGGTCAGCGGCGTCACCGTCGTTACAAGTCAGGCCATTAGAATCTAGGTGTTAGGAAACTCCAGTTTTGGTTTGTCGAAGAGAGGCTGCATAACGGAATAAGCTTTTCGGATTAGAGACAAATTTATCCATAAGCTTTATCTGGTACTGAAGCCTGTCTTCTCTTATAGCCTTTGTGCATATGTTCCTTATATATTTGTGTTGCCTGTACGCGCCGATATTATCAGTTCGTTTGTATTCTGCTAAATTGTGCGTTTTGCGGCTTAGCAAACGAAGAGTGCGGTTCTTGATGACTGTAGGTGGCTTGTAGATTTTGGGGACCGTTTGAGGAATTGACTGCTTTGTAGCACATAAAAGCGTGTGCAGTAAGAAGTCCCAATGAGCATCCACATCAATTTGAGGGTGAACATCCTAATCCACCTGTTGTGGATAGTTCTGTAGAGGTGACACATTCAACCGTTTGAAATTCCAGCGCAAGTTAATGGTGGGATATCTTAGCTCAGTTTTGCTGACGAAACTGAAAGCTATAGCGGCGTGATCGTTTTTTCCCAGGGGAGCCAGGATTGAGAGGTTGTCAACAAGGATTCTTCGTTTGTAAATACACAGTCTAAGCGCGATGGTGCCTGACTATCTCTCCAACGAGTTGCTGACTACATTTTCGTATAACCCCAAGTCCTCAATGAGGTTGAAGAATCGAGCTTTAATTGAGTTTTCACCTCCAATATACATACGTTCCACGGAGTTGACTCTGAAAAGATTGAAGTCCCCTAGAATCAGAATATGAGTGAAACCGAGACGAGTAGAGCAGGATAGTCCTTCCAGCATACGACTGTCATACTCGATGTCGGCAGTGGACTTCTTATATATGACTCCGACTAGACACCTCGAAGTAGTAGACAATCTTACAGAGCACCATATGGATTCCTCAAGATTGTTAAACTCGAGGTTATGTACTTGGTGTACCTCCGGGCATGATCGTATGTGTAAGTCTACCCCACTCCCAATTCCTGTTTTTTCCGTCGTTGCGAAACAAAGACATACCAGGTATTGCTAACTCCGGACCCGTAAACTGAGAAGATATCTAAGTTTCAGATATTCCTATCAGATGAGCCTTATCAGCATTGCTAAGTTCACGTAGCTCATCCATTTTATTTGAGAAACTCGCAGCGTTCATGTACAAGCAGTTTATGCTTTCAATTTAAACGCGCGAGCTTCTCCTTTCTGTTTGTTTGGATGAGCGTTACGTGAATGGACAGGTAGCCTACCTATACAAGGTTTTCTAAGTTGATAGCCCTGCCCTTTACACGTTTTTTTATCAAGACGGTCCACAGGTGGAATGGTCAGCTACGATTTGCCTCTGTGCTTGATCCTGGCGTCATGTGTCCTATACGCATGCATATGGATTACAGTTGGCAGCCGACGTCTGTTGGCACGAAATGCTTCCAGAGTTGCAGCTGCCATATGGGAGGGTGGGAAAGTTGTCTTCATTAGTCGGGGTCTAGAATCTCCATCCTTCCATCCATCCATCCTTCTTGGATAGTCTCGTCACTTGTTGAGTCAGTATGTTTTTGAGCTTCAAGGATTGCTTGATGAATTTTCATTCCCTAATATCAGAGTTTGCTTGATTAGGGTTCGTGTTTTCCGGTACACCTTGCACAATGATATGTCTTCCGCGGAAAAACGTCTCGCGATATTCCTTAGGGATGTTCCGGATGACATTGCGCTCGGAGTACGGTATGTCGGGCAGTATTCTTACGTTCCCATCGTATTTCAGTAAATGACTCGCTAGCAAGTCATCCTCTTCGTCGGTAGCATTAGTGAGTGTTATACGAAGTAGCGTTGAGTGATTTTGATACTAAGATTCCTTTCTCCGAGTGAGCCGTGTGACTATCAAAGGCTCTATTCTAGGAAGTCCAAGTTTCTTGTTCAATTCACCTCAGAGCATCCTGTCATTTTTGTCCTGCAGACTGAGAAGAAGGTCAGGGTTGTCTTTGGGGTTCATGATTATGAGAGAGTCATCGCGAACCGTTATTGTTTTCCCAGGTTTTCCGGTGCTTCCAGGCTCAGCACCTTGTGGTTTGGAGTTCGAAGCACGTTTATGAATCCAAGGCTCTTTGATGACCGGACGGACATTCTTGGGGGTTGACTGTGCGACCAAATCACCAGCTGATTTCCATACAACACCAGGGATGTTCAACTTATACGGTTACGCCTGGTCCTTTTTAGCTCACCTACAGAGTTTTGGGGAGCCACTGTTGCATTCAAGGACCCTGAGCTGGGAGAACCGAGTTTACTGAGGGAGTCGATTACCGTCGACGTGATGATGGTGCTGAGTTTCAACATGTCATCATTAGTGCCAATGCATGCTCCATCGATGGTAGACCTGTTGACATCCCTCTTGGTTTCATTGCGCGTCTCTTTATGATTGTGATTTTGCAACTTTGCTGACAACTTATCCCTCAGACCTGTCAATGATGTTACTCAGCAAAACTTCGGCATCCGTGTTGCACCCGACACATATCCACTTATGATCGGATTTGCTGAGTCTGTTGTAAGCAGTTGCTGTGAGATCTGTGCACGCTTCGTGAAACCAACCTTTGCAGTTGTTGCACTGAATGCCAGATGTAACAGCAAAACGGCATTCAGGTCGTTTGCATAAATTTTTCATAACTATATTGACGTAACTTATTTTATAGATGCTAGTAAAAGCATAAGACCGTTAAAAATACACTAAAAAGCACACTTAAAACGGACGAAAATGGATAAAAACAGTTGAGATAAACTGAACTAGCCTTTACGTGAAGAAGTGAAAAAAACGAATAGTAAGAATAGTAATAATAATTTATTCTCAAATAACAGTTTTTTACATGATACACGCCAGTTTACAGGCAATATCAAATTGATACAAATGATACAATATCCACTGTAGTAAATTACACAGCTGGGTTGATAATTTATAAGATATGAATGTAGATGGTTTTAATCAGTATCACAGTTGGTGCGCTTCACGAAAGTTGCGTTGCGAATGTGCAACTGATGGTCAAGGGTAGGTCCATTGAAGTTGGGAGCTTCTAGAAATCGCAATTTTATGTCCCTTTGGAATGTCTAAGGCTATGAGGATGGTGCAGGATAAAATCTTTCGT